GTGGGCGGCGGAGTACCGGTTCCCTGTCCCGAACTCCCGTGCTGACCTCGCAGCTTTGGGGATTTGGGCTCCTGGAACCCGGGAGGCGGGTGGGCACCAGCTTCCCCGACACGGAGTGGCGGGGCTCCCGACGGCCTTCCTGGACCCAGGCTGTGCTCAGAGGTCCCGAACTCCGACCGCGAGCGGGCCCCGCCAGCTCCTCTGACTCGGGCAGCGAGGCTCCCGTTCTGAGCCTCGGCTGCGGCCGCTCAGCTTTGCTGGAACTCGGCGGGCACCGGTTTCTCCATCCCGCACGAGACTCCGCGCATTTCCTTCCCCCATGCAGGAGGCAGATGCTCCGCTTCTCTAACCCCAGGCCGAGGACTGGGCATTGCCTCCTTGAGCCTCGGCGCCTGACTCTCTCTCAGATCTCCGAACCCATGGAAGCTCAGCTTTCCTGAGTGCAGGCGTGGGGTGCCCCGCCTCCAATCCCCTCAGTCTCCACCTCTCCTGGGGGAGCCTGGAGGAAGGCCCTTCTGTTGATCTTCCCTTGTAGAGCTAGCGGGATACCCTGAAAGGTGTCTCACTGGTCGGGCCTGCGATGGGTTAGCTATGACCCAGAGAGAGAGGCCGGCCTGCCCTCTGGCTTCCATCCAGCTCTCTTGTAGACAACTGCGAAAGCATCCAAACTCCAAAGGGACCGGACCAGTCAGGAGCTGGCCGTCCCTGCAGAACAGGTTCTGGCAGTGGCCACAGTCATCTTGGTGGCAGTGCCAGGCAGGGGGGCAGCCAGGTCCTAGAAAGAAGCTGGGTTCTCCCAGTAGGGGTGGTGGTGGGGGTGCCAGGGACAGTTCTGGGCTGCTGTGACCAGCTGTGACCCCAGCAGTTGCGGAAACCTTGGCCCTTCCTCTTAGGCTGGTGGGGATTGAAGGGAACAAGCAGTGCTTAGAATAGCCTCTGTCTCCTGAAGAATTACTGAGATTCGAGCTGAGCTGCATTGTCTCACTCTATTCTGGAAGCATTCTCAGGGTTTTAGCCTCAGGGGGAGACTTTTTAAAAATTTCCACTTTAAAAATATTAATTTCAGAAAGGCAGGGAGGGGCGTAAGAGATCAACTGAAGGACTTGTATGCATGCATATAAGCATAACCAATGGACACAAGACACTGGGGGGTAGGGGAAGCCAGGGGAAGGTCAGGGGGCGGGGAGGAGACATATGTAATACTCTTTGTAATACTTTAAGCAATAAAACAAAATTTAAAAAAAAAGAAAGGAAGGGAGAGGGAGAGAGAGATAGAAACATCAGTGATGAGAGAGAATCATTGGCTGCCTCCTGCATGCCCCCTACTGGGCATCGAGCCCGAAACCCGGGCATGTGCCTGACAGGGAAGGGAAGACCAGCTCCTAGTTCATGGGTTGATGCTCAACCACTGAGCCCCAGCGCCCAGACTTTTTCTGTTTTTCAGCTGAGGGAACTGAGACTTAGGAAGGTGCCTGGGGACCCCCAACCAGGAAGAGGCAGGTCCTAGGGCTGTGTGGTTTCCAGGAGCTGGTAGCCTTAATGAAGATGCCATGTTAGCTCACAAACTGACATACGGGCAGTGCTGTAATAACATTGGCCCACGCACAGTGAGTCTTCAGCAAATGCATTCCCTTATTGCCCTACGTGTTGACATTCCCTTCTCCAAGCCTGTGGCTGTGAGAGCGTCAGCTGGACAGATCAGGTCATGATGAGTGGGAAGGGTTTTCCAGAAAATACTAGAATGCAGCTGAGTTCCATGTTCATGCCTGGGGTTTGGAGTTGGGATGTGCCCAGGAGCCTTGAGTGCCCTGTGAGAAGCCAGTGAGAGCAGTTCATTCTCTCCTCACAGATCAACAGGAATAAGGGTGGAATGTCCTGGCATTCTTACCACCTGACATTCTTATCACACTACGAGCCCTGTGATAAAGACTTTGTAAGCATCAAATCCTCAGCTTCCTGGGAGAGATGCTCTTGCCACATTTTTCAGATGAGAACTTGAGCCCAGAGAGTCTGGGGGCCCTGTCCGTGCCAGTGAGCATCAGGGTCAGGTATCAACTCAGGCCCTTTTGAGTCCCAAACTTGAATTTGCAACCTCCGAGCAGCACTGCTGCATATATTCATAAAACGTAGGTTTTCAGATTTTCTGAGATCTCCCAGAATGCTTTCTTGGCTGGGATGTGGGATCTGCCTTCCTTTGGGGAGGTAGGCCGGCCTGGGTCCGGTCCCCACTGCTCTCTTCCATTCCCACAGAGGCCGAGCACCTCCCGACCGCCAGCCCCGGGTATGGGACCCAGGCGGGGGCTTCGCCGGCCCCTCCGGCCCCTCTGGAAGAAGAAGACCTCCGCCGCCGTCTCAAGTACTTCTTTATGAGTCCCTGTGACAAGTTCCGGGCCAAGGGCCGCAAGCCCTTTAAGCTGATGCTGCAAGTGGTTAAGATCTTGGTAGTCACTGTACAGGTGAGACCTGTGGGAGCCCCAGCAGGAATGGTGCTGTGGCCACTGTGTTCCTTGAAGGAGAGTCTGGGAGTCAGAACCTCGTCCTGACCCTGCGGCAGCATAATGGCTGTAACAATGGCAGTAATAAGTCAGAAAACCCGCTGAGCTCTAGGTGAGCAGCTCCTTTTAACCTCACACATGCCCCTATTTTGTAGATGAGGCAGCTGAGGCTCAGCGAGGTGAAGGGATTGGTCCAAAGTCACATGGCAACCAAGCACTGGGATTTGCTGGCACGTGAACCCAGGCAGTCTGGCGCCATGTTGACCCTCAAAGAGAACTGACCCGGTGGCTGAACAGATACTTGCCCCCTTTCCCATGCCAGGCTCTGTGCTGGGGTCTTGTGATCCCAAGATGAATCAGACCCTGCCCTAGGGTGCTGTGGCTTTGGACGTGTGACTGTGCTTCTAATTTCCCTTTGGTAAGGGTTCCAGCACTGTGGTACTTACCCTATAGGTCTGGGTTTAGCATGGAAGTTGGCATCAGGTAAACATTTCATGAACACTAGTTGCTACCCTGAGATATATGAGTGCCACTATGTGCTATGCATTGGGAACAAATGGTGGGCATGGAGTGGGTCCTCTACTTTTCCTCCATTCATGCATCGAGGGAGATCCCATCACAGCAGTGTCAACCCCCTGTCATCCCACCAGCTCATCCTTTTTGGGCTCAGCAACCAGCTGGTAGTGACATTCCGCGAGGAGAACACCATTGCCTTCCGCCACCTCTTCCTTCTGGGCTAC